TTACTGGTTGACCTGACCCGACCTGACCTGACCTGGCCTAAATGCATTAAGACCCTATCTCAGTCGGGGGAGGTTTGGTCAATCGTTGTCATTTTTAGCACGTGCTATTTTTGTCACACGTGCTAAAAATGACAACGATTCTGCTATTTTTGACAACGATGAGGCCGATTTCACTCCTCAGCGAGGAAATGAAGATTTTGGAAAGATAAACACTGATTTTGGAAAAGAAGTGCTGCCACCTGGTGCAAGACGAAGAATCCAGCTTTAATATGCCTGTTATTTGTATGGTAGTTTGTTTTGTGGCCTGAAGTTGGAACTTAAAATTGAAGCATCCGAAAATGATCGATATTGATCGAAAACATGATGTTGATGAAAAAAAATAATATTTTAAGTTGAGAGAGGAGGCCATTTTATCCAGATGCAGTAGTTTACTTCTTGAAATTATTTTTGCTAATGACGGCTGCTAATTATCCCTCATTACATGGCAGTCGTCGTAAGCAAAAATAATTTCAAGAAGTAAACCACCGCATCTGGATAAAATGGCCTCCTCTCTCAACTTAACATATTATTTTTTTCATCAACATCATGATTTCGATCAATATCGATCATTTTCGGATGCTTCAATTTAAAGGTCCAACTTCGGGCCACAAAAAAGGGTATACTTCAACGTTGGACTACCATACAAACAACGGCCATATTAAAGCTGGTTTCTTCTTCTTGCACCAGGTGGCAGCACTTCTTTTCCAAAATCAGTGCTTGTATTTCCAAAATCGTGATTTCCTCGCTGAGGAGTGAAATCGGCTTCATCGTTGCTAAAAATAGCTGATAGCGTTGTCATTTTTAGCACATGGTTGCCAAAAATGGCATGTGCTAAAAATGACAACCATTGACCAAACCTCCCCCAACTGATCTATGATCATCTAACATGATATTCGTGATCAGCACCCCGAAAAAACATAACAGTCACCCTTTACGACGTTGTAACAGGTCCCGCGATTTTCCCGACTTTTGGGTAATTGACCTGACCTGGAAAGTCAACCGATGACTTAGGACCTTAACCCACGAGCCGCTGGGGGGGGGGGGGCATAAATTTGCCCCCCTTTACGTTTTGTGGAATATCTCCGAAACCTGATGAGCTACGAACGTGAAACTTGGCATAGCTTCAAATGAATACCTTGGCAATGTTTGGAGAAAGTTTGGTGGTTGTAGCACCAAAGATGACGTCACAGTGACGTCATAAAGTTTTGTCGTTTTCCGATATGGACCGTTTCTGATGACGCTGAGCATGAAACTCAACTGTAAATGAACTAGACAGCACCTGCTGTCATCCTAAAACATCTAAGCACACTTCCATCTAGTTCCTGACCAATAATCGGCTCTTTATATTCGGTCCCATAAATCTGATGTATCGTGAGGAAACTGAGAGTCGCAAATCTATAATTTGACTTATGACGTCACTGTGACGTCATTTCAAATGGGATCGACACCAAATTTGGACACAACCTCGGCTAGGTACTCAGAAAGACGTGTGCAAAGTTTCGCTTCTCTATCTCTTCGCGTTGCGACGATATCGTCGCAAAAGTAAAGGGGGGGGGCAACTATATGCCCCCCCCCAGCGGCCGGCGGGTGGCGCGGAGGCCCAGCGGCCGCCGGCTGGGCCTCCGCGCCGGCGGATATGATAGATGATACCTACGCGCAGATGATACCTACTCCGGGAGGTATCATCGGCTTCCTCTCGTGACGGGCAACACGGTGGTTTTCTCCGCGAAGCTCTAGCTCGATCAGCGGCGAAACGACAAGGGGCAAGGTCCAACGCCCCCCCCCCCCCCTATACGTTCGGGGCTGGAAAAACACCAATACGGGCGAGAGTTAAGATTAATGTGGTACCCCTCACATTGCCCCACCAGACAGTGATAAACACACTTATCCGTGATGGGCGTTTGATTGAGTGGGGGGGGGGGGGAGTGCAATCACAAGCTGGGTCACGTCAGCTGCCAATTGACAATTTGCTACTTAAATCCAGGGTTACTTTTAAAGGGGGGAAGAGGGGAATTTCCCCCCTTCGAAAATTCCGCTCCCCCTTTCAAATCGTGTCTGAACGGCTAGGGAGGGAAGGGGGAATTTCCCCCTTTCAAATTTATTTTGGAGCCCATTTTCAATCAATTCGCTATTCAGATTCTATAGTCATCGTTAATCAGATTCTCGTCATCAATCAACGTTGCTGGCGTTAAGATAATTATTAATTTTCAATTTTCGGTTCCATCCAACCATTTTACGTTCAGTGCAGCAGGAACTCCAGATTTGACCCGATACCGATCGGATAGTCGGTGGGACCGTCTCTTGTCTTGTCTCTTCCGTCTTTTCGCAATCACTGACATATCGGTACAGGCGTCGGCGTAGAAACCGGCGGGGGACGGGATTACCTCTCCGAACCAAGGGTGGATACAGGGGGAGGGGGGCAATGGGCCATGGCCCCTCCTTTGACGCAAAAAGAAGGTGACCCCCTTTTGGACCCCCTTTTATATTCTGTGTTCTTTCTCAGAAACGACCCATTTATTCACGATTATTTTCACTTTTTCATCGACGCCAAGGCCAGACATCTAAAATTTTTGTCCCAATATGACAATGGCCGTGTTTAACCATCCTCCAAACCGGAATCATTGAAGGAAAAACAACGTTATTTTTGTCCCATAGGCATCAAAGCTTTGAGTAATAAATGACTTTTCTCTTTATGCAGCATTCACGTTCATCTGCTTTGCATGCAGAGCAGGGCGCAAAAAAAGTACCTCATCACAGCCGGCTTTCCCAATGGAACTTTCACTGCTCACTAATACTAATAGTAATAATTCAAGTTTTGTGCTTCATTAGTTTTTGTTCGGATATCACTGCCCACCTTGTAGTTGTAGAGGTTGCAGTTTTGTAGCGCCGTCGTTTCTCTACATACACGACCACACAAAGAACTTTGGAATTGCTCGTTAACTGTAGCTTTTGTGAGCGTTTAAGAATTTCATGTTTTTTGCTCATTTTTGCTCGAACAGTTTGACATCAATTACTCCTGACCTAAGGTGACCTAAGACTTGAAATTTTGTGCGAAGGTTTCAAATTGATGCCCGGTAAGGTACTAAAAATTTGGCGGCGCTGCGCGCCGCCGTTTTTCGCTTTTCAAGAAAACCCACATGGGGGCCAAAATGACCTCCAATCAGGGCGCGGATTAACCTCTCTCTTTAGAAAGGCGTTACTTAATGTTTGGCCGGGGTATACCTACTAGTTATTGATACCACTGATAGGTTGATACTACTGATTGGCATTTGCAAGGGCGCAGTCAAGTTGGGACCTCCCCCGCCCCTTACAGCCAAGGTAGGTGCGTATATTTTTTAGCAAAATTATTTTTTGGCAACCTTCCAAAATAAAGTGGCTGAAACCCGAGGAAAGAATAGGATTTGGGGGTAGGTAAGGTTCTGCGGGCTCCATCCTAACGAAAAACCTAATGGTATTGCCGCCCACCCCCCTTTCAGATGCCCCTGGATCCGCCTTTGCCCCGAACTTTATTCCCCCTCTCAACTTTTCCTGTAAAAGTAACCCTGCTTAAATCACAGTAGCAAAATCACAGAATCACAGTGGGTACTTAGCTCTATAAATCACAACACTCTGGCTTTTCCCGTAGTGATGGAATATGAACAGTTTTTGAACAAATAATTTAATGTTTCTCGTGAAATCCATAGAAGACTCCTAACAAAAACGTATTGCAGAGAAGGTAATTTTCTGAGAAGTTCACGTTTTGACTGGGGGGCAAATGTTGGCCACTGGGGGGGGGGGGCAATCCGCTCGACTGGGGAGGCAATTGCCCCCCCCCCAGTTAGCATGTTAGACGAGGGCGAGGCCCTGTTGTTGTACAATAAAAGTGCTATATATCGAATTGAATATGGTGCTATTTTGGTCTCGGTCGGCCTGATAGTGGCTGATTGATAGTTTCATTACAGTCAAAGAATGTTCAAATTGACATTTATAATTTATTAAGCCTATGTTTCAGGTCAACAACAGGTTTAATGCAGTCTAAGGGAACGATAAACTTTATTCGGGAAGCCCAATAGCATTGCAATTGAACGTGGATAATTTAGTGACGCTACTCTTTCCTTGTTTACTTTGACTTTAGCCATATATCAACGCAGCTGCGACATTTGAGAAAATGGAGAAAATGGGTGGTGTCCGTGAAAAATATTTTGTGTTATAAATTTTAAAGTTATCAAGCTATATTTGGGTTTGGTTTATTGCTTATATGTAACATTTTGATTTTGCACTGCACTTAGAATATGTTAAAGTGTACTATTCACCGTTCACCACTGACCATTCTTGTTCTGCAATCTGCATTCCAATCAATCCTAATGATAACAATAACAGCTTGATCTCCGAAAATCAACAAAGTATAATACTGCCAGTGTATCAGTCGGGGAAACTATGGTAAAATCTGCTATTTTTAGCAGTCTGCTATTTTTAGCAGAAATCTGCTAAAAATGGGTACGCATGTGACGTCATCGTACCCAAATATAGCAGATTTGGGTACGGCCCCATACAAAAGCAGATCTGCACCCTAATTGAAGCAAATGCGCATCAAATGCCTGGCAGATTCATGATGAGAATAGTGCTGAGAGTGATCGCTGCTATTGTTGTTCAGATCCGACTATTTTGAAATTCATTATTTGAAAATAGTCGGATCTGAACAAAAATATCAGAGGACATTCTCAGCACTATTCTAATCATGAATCTGCCAGGCATTTGATGCGCATTTGCTTCAATTAGGGAGCAGATCTGCTTTTGTATGGGCATGGGGCCGTACCCAAATCTGCTATATTTGGGTACAATGACGTCACATGCGTACCCATTTTTAGCAGATTTCTGCTAAAAATAGCAGACTGCTAAAAATAGCAGATTTTACCATAGTTTCCCCAACTGGTATGAATCTGAAAAATGATTTAATCTGGGATCTGATCCCACGGGGCATGGAATTGGATCCTGATCTTGATCTGAGACTTGATGATATTGTAAATCTGGCTTCTTAAATTATCATGAGATCTATTATTGAGTGAAGATCCAAGGCTTATTTCTTGCTTGACTTGAGATCTAGTGAGACCATGGATCCTTACTTCATTTTTTTAACAATGCAGAGTCCCCAAAATGTAACAACTCACAACAGTTATGTTTTAGTAATTTTACGTGATTGCACATCTATATTTTATTGACCCTGAGACACTTGGGAACAAGGATCCAAATGTTGTGCATGGTGGAATCCACTGGTATCATATGTCATAATATCCATGTTTGGGTCTATTGTCAGATTCTATGAGATTGTAGATCCGGGATAAACATTTCATGCAGAATCTGATGAGATCATAGATCCTTATTTGCAGTTTGTTTTGAGATCCACTGAGATCATCAATCCATCACTCAGATCCATGCAGATGCAGCATAGCCCTAATTGGTTCCTACAGAGAAGTGTGCATCATTTTATACTGTTATGACCAAATGTGCCTATTCTGGACTGGACTTGTTGTTGCTTATGGTGGAAAGACAGCTGCCAGGTAGGAGACATTTTGATCATTGATGCATGCTTAAAAATAGCACTGCAATGCACTCAGCATTGTCAATAGTCAATACCTATTGTAATATTGTGAATATAATTGTGCATAAATTGAGCTTCCTCTCAAGTTTCAGGCCAATTTCCTCCTCAATGATTACTTGTACGATTATCAGAGATGTCAACCTGTTGGGTGCACTGTAAACTAATATTTGATTTATTCCTCCTTTCAGGCCTAATACAAGTATCAATCTATGAAGATAAGGAACTTGGACTGAGTGCAGTGCAGCCATGATAGCACATACCTCTGCAGGGCTTTGGACTCTGTTCTACTTTGTTTTTGCTTTATGTCAGCTCTTCCCTCCAACTGAGTTCATAACAGCTGGTCTTACCGCTGAAAAACTATTTGCATCCTTGTTTGGATCTGAACATCTAAACTTTGTGAACTATCACATGAAGAGAACAACATGCAATATAGTTGCACACCTTTGTCTACCACTAGGTGAGTGTGCTATACATTTTGTGGAAATGTGAATTATGTTTTTCTTTATGTACCCTTGCTTTCAATTCAAAATTGTCTTACCATTCTGCTGGTGAGGCAACCAATGCTCAACTATGGCTTGTGCTCTGCTGTATTTTACCATTATTGGTCAATGATCATGTCCAGGAATAACCTGACTTGTGTTACCTACCACTGACTGCTACCAACCACTAATGGCTTTTTTGCTGATTGATAATTCAGAAATATTATTTCTGCTCTGACTAAGTGAAGGCAGAGAAAGGATGATGCCCACCTATGACCTGTTAACACCCATGCTAAAATATTACAAAACACCCTGAATGCATCTGACATTCATTTCTACTGAGGTATGACAGAATTCCAGTGGAGGTGTAGTGTAACCTCAGCCAGCTACCAGAACAACGTGCCTCAGTGTGCTCAGACCGCCCTTTACCATCTGTTCCCCACGGCAGGCTACTGTCTGGGCCTGTGGTGGACGGCGGAGGGGCCGGGGCGCCCGCTGGCCAGCTGGGAGATCGCCGCCGTCATCGCCAGCGCGCTGCTGGCCGCTGCCGGGCTGCTGTGCTGGTACCGCTGGTGGCGCACTGACTGGTACTCCCACCCGCTGGCGCGCGTGCTCACCTCGTACAGTGAGACCGGACTGTGGCGTCAGACGGCCTCCGAGGTCAACCGCGAGTTCCGCAGGTGAGCGGACACGGAGGCGTGACGTGAGGGCTTCTCAGGTGAGTGGAGACGGAGCGTCAGAGCAGGGCGGGAATAGTTGACAGTTGCTGCCTGTGCGGGCGTAGAGACGTGCATCTGTTGAATACTCCGCCAACTAAAAAAGTTGAATGTAAGGTAGTCGCACTTAGCACTAGTGTATGTTTTTTTTCAGCAAATCAGTCATATGAATATCTTCCATTGCTTCTCTTTTTACAATGCTCTCCTTGATGAGTTCGTTTCTCTCTAGACTGACGGCTATTGCTTCTCTACGGCACAGTTCTACCAAGCTCGCCGTCCTCTCGACTGACAGCTATTCCCTCTGTCCCCCGCAGTGTGGACAAGTTCGCCACGGACGCCGTCGCCGCGCACCGCGTCATCATCACTGACAACTGGCTCATCAAACTGACACCCTACAAGGTGCATCTGCTGCACGTGGACCACGTGTACCTGGACCTGGAGTCCAGCTCGGAGCCGCACGTGCTGAGCGAGCGCACGTGCCAGACGGTCACGTGCCGCGTGGTGAGCATGAGGCCGGCGGTACCCGACTTTGTTATTAGGTGAGTGGAGATTGGTGGGGTGAGGGAGTTCTGCCGAGGTACAGGTCGCGCGAGATTAAGCGGTAGGTTTTGCATTTTTACATTTCCGGTTATATCTCAGAAGCTAATCGATCTACGATGATTGATGAAGCCATTTCACACGATCATGGCCGGCTTGTAAACCCAACAAGTCGATCGCATATTCAACACTTAAAAGCTTAAGACGAAGATATAGCCTGAAGTACACTAAATTTTCTAGGTGCAAAACCTACCGCTAAAACCCGCGAGACCTGTACCGACAACAGAATGATATTTTGAACAAATGTGTACTTAAAGTATATGTTCAGGAATGCCAAACGAAAAAATGCACCCTAAAATGACAAATCACCAGACAGAAACATGCCTGGCCTCAAATTGGTGTAGACTTTACTGGAAATAGGTATATTATTTGTGCTGTATCTGAACGCTGGTATCAAGTCAGTATTGATGAAAAAAAAAATGCGAGCCAATAGAACAAGCGATGTCGAACTGTATTCTTATCCTTGAGACTGGTGTCTGCAAGACCGTTGTTCTACTGGGACGGCCAGGAGGCTCAGAGATGTTCTGGTTCCAGTATCACTAAAGCACCTAACACCACCCTGCTGTGCGGCAGAGTGACATCGGAGCAGCTGCCTGAGGTGCGTCACCGACTCGGCCGGCGCGTGCGCAACCTGCGTAACGTGGTGATCCACCAGACGCTGACGGAGCGGTTTGTGGACGCGTTCCGCAGAGTGGTCCACGAGAACCTACCCGTGGTGGTAACGGAGGTGAGCGGAAGGAGCGCCGACGGCCGGGGGCTCCGGGGAATCATGGTCACGGGTGGTGGCCTGGAAATGGGGAGGATTATTCGTAATTTGCGAGTCTTCATATGGTACCGTATTTAGATGGCAGTTTACCTCTTGGCTTGCTCCGCTGTTTCATTGGACTTAAAATGGCTACAGTAAACATTAGACCGTTTCTTATCTAAATTGATCTCACATATTTTTTCATGCTTCGATTCAAGAATTACTTCAAATCTCCAACTCCATGCATGTTAAAATAAGCAGTAACCATCGGTCTGCTAGGTATTGCTTACATGTTTCGTAATATCATATTGTTGTCGAAAACACCCCCGCTTGGGTTTCGAACCCACACATCCGGAGTAATCCTTCATCTGACTGTCGGCCGGCAGGACCTGGAGCAGTGTATCGGCTGCGGCGAGGTGCCCGCTGGCGTGCGCCTGGCGCGACAGTGTGGCCAGATGGGACCGGGCGAGCCCTGCCGCGAGTGTAACTGCCGACCCATGTGGTGCCTGGACTGCTTCGCAAAGTGGTGAGTCTTGAGTTTGTATTTCAGTTGAGACAAGTATAATAACACGGAACAAAAGTGATAGACGAACGCGTTTCGGCTAAATCACCGTCATCAGCGTCTAAAAGGAGAACAAGAGGCACACATCGAGCAAATATCACAGTTCAATCGTTTTGATTTTTACATACACTTTTAAACAAGCATGTGACAATGTGGTTACATTTCCTTTGACAAAGAGAAAATATCCTAAAAGAATCCTAAGAGAATAGCCACATTGTACAGTTTACACAGGTGTTGCACAATTCATATGTGGATGTTTGAAATGTCAAACAACGCCGCTGCTTTTGCCCACTTCATGAAACCAACCCTGACATTAATGGTATCACTCGTAGCAATAAACGCCGCTTCAGTAGCTTTTCTGTTGTCGCGATTACTACATGACGTGAGTACCTTTGCCCCGTCCCAGTATGGGAGATGGTTTGAGTTCTGAGCATGTAGAACAAACGCACTGTGTTGCATGTTATTTCGTAGGTCACGTCTGTGCTCTTTTAATCTCGTTCCAATAACCCTTCCCGTCTCCCCGATGTATTTCTTATTGCAAGACCCGCATGGAACCTGATATACAACGCTGTTGCCATTATCCTTTTTGTTACTTTCTCTATTTCTTGATAGCATGTCACCCACCTTTTTACCCGTAGTAAAGGACACTTTAAAACCTATAGTCTCGAGTTCTTTCGCAATCGTTGTGGCCGTGATCGAGTTCGGCATCGTGATGTATCGTTCGTCTTTTTTCTTGGTTTTTGTTGTTGAGGATCGTTTTCGTATGTTAAGGGCCTTTCGTTTAAGATCCAATAAATATCCTTTCGGATATTTCAGCTTCATGAAGGAAAGCATGATATGCTCGATCTCGTCATCCACATATTCTTTACTACAGATTCGGAAAGCACGTAGAAAAAATCCCAAAACAACACCACTCTTAACCCTATCACTATGTCCAGAATAGAAATGCACATATGACTCTTTGTTGGTTGGTTTTCGGTAAACTTTGAATTTCGCTCTATCATTACGTATAATCATCGTATCGAGGAACGCAATGGATCCCTGTTTTTTTTTTCTCAAGAGTGAACTGAATCTTTTCATTCAGCGAATTGAGTTCATGCAGCTTGACCTCCAGGTCGAGACTTTTTGGTGTCACCACGAGGACATCGTCGACGTAGCGAGTCCAAATCACTCCCCCTCCCAAGATCCTTTGAGAACTCTTGAGAAAGAAAAACAGGGATCCATTGCGTTCCTCGATACGATGATTATACGTAATGATAGAGCGAAATTCAAAGTTTACCGAAAACCAACCAACAAAGAGTCATATGTGCATTTCTATTCTGGACATAGTGATAGGGTTAAGAGTGGTGTTGTCTTGGGATTTTTTCTACGTGCTTTCCGAATTTGTAGTAAAGAATATGTGGATGACGAGATCGAGCATATCATGCTTTCCTTCATGAAGCTGAAATATCCGAAAGGATATTTATTGGATCTTAAACGAAAGGCCCTTAACATACGAAAACGATCCTCAACAACAAAAACCAAGAAAAAAGACGAACGATACATCACGATGCCGAACTCGATCACGGCCACAACGATTGCGAAAGAACTCGAGACTATAGGTTTTAAAGTGTCCTTTACTTCGGGTAAAAAGGTGGGTGACATGCTATCAAGAAATAGAGAAAGTAACAAAAAGGATAATGGCAACAGCGTTGTATATCAGGTTCCATGCGGGTCTTGCAATAAGAAATACATCGGGGAGACGGGAAGGGGTATTGGAACGAGATTAAAAGAGCACAGACGTGACCTACGAAATAACATGCAACACAGTGCGTTTGTTCTACATGCTCAGAACTCAAACCATCTCCCATACTGGGACGGGGCAAAGGTACTCACGTCATGTAGTAATCGCGACAACAGAAAAGCTACTGAAGCGGCGTTTATTGCTACGAGTGATACCATTAATGTCAGGGTTGGTTTCATGAAGTGGGCAAAAGCAGCGGCGTTGTTTGACATTTCAAACATCCACATATGAATTGTGCAACACCTGTGTAAACTGTACAATGTGGCTATTCTCTTAGGATTCTTTTAGGATATTTTCTCTTTGTCAAAGGAAATGTAACCACATTGTCACATGCTTGTTTAAAAGTGTATGTAAAAATCAAAACGATTGAACTGTGATATTTGCTCGATGTGTGCCTCTTGTTCTCCTTTTAGACGCTGATGACGGTGATTTAGCCGAAACGCGTTCGTCTATCATTTTTGTTCCGTGTTATTAGTCTTGAGTTTCTTTCCTATTCATGACTGTTTCTTCGCTTGGCTGTCTCTGAGTGTTTGTGTGCTTGTCTATTTTGTTTGTATTGCTTGTCTGCGTATTTTCCTTTTTGTATTTGCATTTTCTCGATCTGTCCATCTGTCTTTGTCTCAGTTCCAGTCCTTCTCTCCTCATTCCTCATATCTTCTTCCCTTTATCTATCATCTCCTCTCCTTCACCCTGTCCTCTTCTCTCTTCTCTCCTCTATACTCCCTTCTTTCCTCGTTCGCTTGCTTACTCACTCACACACTCTCACCACCCAAACTCATTAATTGTCGAAACATCACTGTCGCGTCAGTATTCCAATCCAGACATCAGCCCCCTCCCTGCTGTGTCGCCAGGTTCGCCTCTCGTCAGGACCAGGACCAGCCGGAAACGTGGCTCGCCTCCAAGTGCCCTTGTCCCACGTGCCGGTCCACGTTCTGTGTGCTGGACGTGCGCCGCGTGCTGCCCGCACGTTCATGATGTCATCCATGTATTTTGTGACGTCATTGAGGGTACTGGTGGATCTGGCGCGGCGAGGGAAGGGAAGACGTCGAGGTAAGTCGTTTGGTGCATTTCCGATGCTGTGGCTTATAGCTCGTGGTGTGCCTATTGAGGCAGGATTTCTCGTTCTCTTGACAAGAATGTGCGTGGTGGGCCAGAAGGTCCGCTCGTGCAGAGATGTGACGCCACCGCCTGTGACGGGTCTGTCGTTGCCGAGCTGGGGGACCACGTATCAACTGCGCAGCACTCTTAGCTCAAACAAAGTCTCACCGTAAACTGAGGAGTCGCTTTAAAAATCACGGACAAGTCGCGTGCCCACCGTATCCGCCAGTGTTATGACTGGCCAGTTGATAAGACAAAGTTGCCGATATGGCCAGATACCGTGGGATGGGCGGTAGATATGACACCAAGGACGTCAAGAGGTGATTTGCTGGGGGTGTGTCATGCTGACGCCGACTTTGGCTGTGCACGTGTATGTAAGACGAGGGAGTGACAGAGGGGGGGGGGGGTGACGTCGAGTGCCTCACACGAAAGTCTGAAGTCTGCGTGACTGGCGAAACGTGCGATATCTCAGAACGGGGCTGAGTATGCACAGCGCTGCTACCTGAAGTCATGGAGCGAGTTGAGTGTTGATAAACATGTGTCTATCACGTGCGCGAGAAGTGATTGCCCACACCGTCTTGCAGTTGGCATCCTTCTTAGTATCTCATATAGCGTAAGTCATGTATGATTTATTGAGAATTTTTTGTGTATTTCACGCTCCGTCAGAAGTACTCGAGCTGTTTGTTATGTCGAATGATGGCCAGTGACAGCTGATTGTGAAAGATTGGTTTGGATTCTAGAGTTTTTATGCTTGTAAACTCACATCAAATGTGGTGGTTTACAAGCACATTCATGTTGTGACGTGATAGCCATGTGCCTTGGAGCCAGTAATGCGTTAGATATTTTTTCTGTTTCTTGTTTTGTTCTTCGTTGAGCGTAACAAAATCGTCAGTTCTGTTCATTGCTGGATGCATCAATGTATCGTGCGTACCAATTTTTCGCGTAGTTGCGTAGTGTGAAGTGTTCTTTAAACAATATTACGTATATCGGTAATTAATAAATTGTCAGTAAACTTAATAGTCGTTTCATCGAGTTTTTCAAGAGTCTACGTGTCAACTCCCAGTGCCCATTGGCACTACCAATCATGTGTTGTTTTGTGCCGTCCTTTACGGGCTTGCCTACCGTGCGTTGTAAATACCTACCACAAGAAGTTGGCAATTTGACCCTATCTACCAGAAATAATAGGACCTTCTTTCGTCTCAACGGGTCTGAAGACCAAACCGTCTTCACTTTAACATGAAAGACTTTTTGAGGTCTGGTATCTTCATCTGGTCTGGTGCCGTCGATCTAGGTGCGCGGCCCTCGGACTCAAGTGGTAGCCCAGGTAATGAAGTCAGACATACCGACGCAACGTCCTGTCCTCAGACCGTTGTGACTTGTGAGGCCCCGAGGGGTTTGGGTGGTGTCCTTAGACGCCGCCATGGGTTGTCGCAGGATAGTGTGGCAGTCTAGTAATGGAAGGCAGCGTAAAACGGATGCCTTCTCCCCCTCCCTTTGCCATCGTAATATTCGTAATTACTCAGATGCCGGTGGGCGGTGTGGACCATCTGATGCCGGGAAGAGGCCCACTGAAGCCACTTAAGTCCTCTCATGGGAATCTTCAAATAAGGCGTGGGACCCGGGGCCGATCTTAGCCAGAAGACTGAAATTCCCAGCGCATAACGTTTCGCGAGGCGTTACGTTACGCGAAAAGTCTAGGCTTCACGGATTACGATGAACAAGTTTTGAAATATGTGTGGTGAGGTAGTCTTGAAGAAAGACGTCCATCTAGTACAAATATGGCTTTGTATTATGCATATTTATGCTGACACACTACACGTGAGTACATATGTAAGCGGATTTCCGCTTACATGTTATGCGAGCGGATACTGGGCCTACCAGAAGTGAAAGTGGCAACTCTAAATTCGTCCTGTGCTGCAATAATGTCCTTGGTTTGATGTCGCGTGTTTAGTGCTATTTAGTTATGATACTGATTTGTAATGACTATTTTATTATTTACTATTGTTCGGTACCAATGTTTCTTTAGTTATGTGTCATATTTCTTATCCGAAGAGTTTTAGACTTCCTGTAATGATTTTGTCCAATGATGTAGCTGCGCGCCACGCGAGAGCCAATCAGGTAATCGCTTATTCTGACCAATGAGAGAGCAGCCGAATTTCCGTTGAGCCCCCGTCGCGTCCAGAGCGGGAATTCGGTGCGCCGCGACATGGCGAGGATCGAGATGTGCTTGGATTGCGCCTGCTTGAACGGTGGGTTTCAACTTTCGTGATAATTACTGTTTATTTTATTTCACATTCTCTAATAACGGGTTTTGATATTTCGTGCCGGCTTTGTATGTGTCGGGATTGTGACAGTTGTTTGTCTTTTCTTTCTAGGGCGTTTCAGTTTGTTTGTTTGTCTGCTGGATACACGCTTGGTTGGCTCCGAGTTCGGCGTTTGCCTCTGACGCCAGCGGCCGGGGTTAGACGCTTACATCTGGTGGCAGCGGTGGGATGCTCTGAGCTCGACGGCCTAAGCTTGACGGCCTGCATCTGGCGTCAGTAGGATTCTCCGAGCTCGACGGCCTACACCTGGCGTCAGTATAAGATTCTCCGAGCGCGACAGCTGACTGCTCAACGTCTACACGCCGGTGAGACCTATCCAGTTCGGACTTATCCGATAGCGGGATGTGCCTGAACGTTTGTGTCACCCGATCTAAGCGATCGCCCTTTGACCATTGTTGGAGCGGGTAATCCTGCCTCGCGGTCCGAGGACTACCGGCCACTCCCGATGGAGACTGGGACGAGTGCACTCCCCCCTGTTGCGGACACGAGCACCTTCTGACCCCCCGGAGACTCAGGTGCTTCCCCCCCCCCCCTGTCGAGGACGCCGTGCGTGGTATTCTCCGGTGACAATGCGCGCACTACCCCCCCCCCCCCTTATGAAGACGCACGTGGACATTTGAAGCTGAGGTGTGCCAAACTGGGCTGACGTGGACATAAACATTTGGTGGTTGGGGATATGAGTGGTGACAAGGGTGTTTCATAAGGGTGATACTTTTCAAGGGTGATACTGTGTGTCATGTCTGTGCTTGGTTTGGGAAGGTGTGATGTTGGTTGCTGGTAAAGTGTTGCGGTCTCACTGTAACGAGGTAATACTGGCTCTACGATTTCTTTTTCCATTGTAAAACGTCCTTTCCATCGCCTTTCTCGCAGTAATTTGAGCATTTAATTTTAGCGTAACTTGTTGAATTACTTTCCGTATTAACGACTCTGCGGTTCCCCTTACATTACCGATTTTTTTTTCGTTGGAAGTGTGCCAAATTTGACATTCAGCATGGCGACGCAGTCACTATCGGTCGGTCTGCCGTCTTTCGCCGGTAAGGGCAGTGTCTCTCGTTTCATCGCGGACTTTGACACGTTTGCAGTCCTACAAGGATGGGATGACGATAAAAAAGTAGCTCTGCTGCCTCTGTGCTTGTCCGGAATTGCGAGGGACGCCTACGATGCCTTCCCGACCGAGTGCAAGAAGAAGGTAGGCGACGCGTGCAAGAGATTGGAACTGGCTTTCCCCTCCGGCGACAAAGTCGAGGCACAGGTCCAGCTCCGGTCTTTGAGACTCACAACAGATGACAGCCTTGATGCTTTTGTGGTGAAGCTTCGAGGGCTAGTCAGTCGCGCATTTCCCGACACCCGGCATACCGATCATGACCCCTTGCTGTACAATTACTTCCTCCAATCACTGCCACCGACATATCAACAAGCGCTAATAGGCGAGGGCATCCAGACGTTCGACAGTGCGGTGGCAAAGGTGAGAAACCTCTCATGCGCCGCGAAGGTGGCAGCGAGCCAGACGGTTCGGCAGGTAGCGGCCACAGACGAGACAGACCTACTTCGTCGGAAAGTTCAGGAGCTGGAATTGAAACTCTCGCGACTGGAGCGTCCGCAGGTAAGCGCTCGTTCTCCCCCAGTGTCCAGCAGCGGCCGTACTTGCTTCTGTTGTGGGAGGCCCGGTCACAACCAGGCGCGGTGTCGGCAAAGGCACCTGCCGTGTCATGTGTGTGGGACCAAAGGACACTTGGCCCGGATGTGCACGCAGCAGGTAAACCCCCAGCGGGCTGGGCCCGGCCCCGACCCCAGACCCGAGCAGCAGCGGACCCCAGTCTCAGGGTTCCAGCGGGGACCAGGTCCACATCAGTGGGATGCCAAACCACAGGACCAGCGGCCGCAGCCGTTGCAGCCGCCCCAGATGGCCCAGTCGTTGCAGCCCGAGCAGATGAGAGGACAGTCCACTTGAATGCTGACATGACATTTGACGCTGATGTGGGAGGTGTGACGTGTTCAGTGACGTTGGACACCGGCAGCAGCATTAATATCATTCACAAATCCGTTTTTGATGTGCTCCCCAAGGCCCCTCCCCTTTTCACTACGGCCACAGTGGCACACACGGTTAGCAGGGACCCCCTACCACTGATCGGTCGTACACAGATTGCCGTTAAAGTTGCTGGAGAAGTAGTGGTGGTTCCATTCTATGTTTCGGATCAGATTGACTGCACTGTTTTGTTGGGATTGGAGTTCTTTGGCGTGTGCCCGTGTGTAGTGTCCACCGCCGTCTCCGGGTTCCGATGTATTCTCACAAACTCGCGGTGCAAAACACTAAGGCACTGTCGTGCTGTGCGGCCGGGCGGAGCCTCTCGACTGCTGGCTCTGACTGGAGCCGAGCAGGGTGCGGCCGCCTCACACTCGTATTACCGGGGGCCCGATGCCGAGCCTCGGACACCCGATGCACTAGGTACTCGATACACTACACATTCCCCCCTCTCGCAAAAAAAGGGAACAGCATCACTGCGACACGTAGTAGTCCGGTCGTCTACAGACACGGTCGCTTCGCCTGGGACGCTGCACGCTCACATCGGCGGCGTCCGGCGACGGCTCGCAAGCTGTCTCGGTCGACGGGCGAGAAGCAGCGGCGAGCGAGGTCAGCGGGCCAGCGGCGTCGGCCTCGGAAGTCGTGGCGGTCGACGTGGTCTCGCCGGGCCCAGCGGGGGGAGATGCGGAGGGAGACGCCGGCGCGTATGGGAGACGGGCCAGATGGGCGGCGTTCCAGGTCCGGCCGTCAGCCAGACGGTACGTTGCGGGACCGACGCGCCCAGTGACTCGCACCGGAGACGTGAACCGACAGGACGTCTTCGAGCGGTGTCCCTGCCGTCTCACGCAGACGTAGTCGCCCTCAGTGATGCGCGGCGTCGTCACGCCACGGCGGCGGTCGTAGGACCTCTTGTTGGACTGCTGTCGGCGTCGAACTCGAGACGCCACACTGTCGGCTCCTGGTGTTGACGGCTGAATGACAGGCAGGTTCAGCCTCATCTGTCGTCCATGCAGGAGCTCTGACGGTGACTTCCCAGTTGTCGTGTGTGGGGTGGCTCGATACACCGCCAGGCTCTTGCGTACCTCGTCAATGAACGCTGCTGGTGGACAGTCTGTGATCCACGACTTGAACGTTTTGTTGAAGCGCTCTACGGCGGAGTTGCCTCTAGGCCAGTAGACGGACGATTTGGTGTGCTTCACCCCTCGGGCGGCCAGATACGCAGTGAACTCCCTGCTCGTGAACTGGGGCCCATTGTCCGTCACGATCTCGTCGGGATAGCCCTCTTTGGCCCACACAGTTGACAAGAACTTGATGACGTCTTCAGTCTCAGTCGATGACGTCAGGCAGACTTCCGCCCATTTGCTTCTGTAGTCAATCAGAGTGATGGCGTAACGGGCAGTCGCTGGTGCTCCGTTGATTGGACCAACGATATCCATTCCCAGTTTCGACCAGGCGCGGTCCGGCAGGTCGACTGGCTGCATGGGCGCAGGGCGTGCGCGCTGGGAGAGGACTGCGTCGCTGTGCTGGCAGCGCTCGCAACTTCGGCACAGCTCCTCCACCTCACGGTTGATGCCGGGCCACCACGCCAGATTCCGCAGCGCCTGTTTCATGCGGACGATTCCGTCGTGCGCGCTGTGCGCCAGCTCCAGGTATCTGCGGCGGAGCTGAACGGGCACAACAACTTGTTGGGCTCCTCTCAGGATGACGTCGTCGTTGCGCACCCACAACTCGTGTCTCATCTTGAAGTACGGCTGGACTTCAACCGGGCAGGCCTTGGCGCTGCTCGGCCAGCCGCGCTTGATCTGATGACGCAGCTGCTGCAGCTCAGGATCAGCAGCTGACGCGGTGCGGACGTCTTGCTCGGTCAGCACGCTCTCTTCATCTGTCAGAAGAGCGATCACCTCTTCTTCAGCGGAGCTGTCTTCATGCAGGTCCGCTTCTTCGGCAGGAACTGGCATCCTGGAGAGGGCGTCTGCTGCAGGAGTTAGGTTCCGGCCAGGCACGTACTGGACTGTGTACGCATACGGCAGCAGGCGTGCCTGCCAGCGCGCGATCCTCGCGCCCGCTCTCCCCGAGAAGCTGGGCGAGAGCAGTGTCTGCAGCGCCGAATGATCTCTGCGGAGAGTGAACGGACGTCCCCACAGATACAGTTTCCAGTGTTCCACGGCGAGAACAGCGCTCAGTGCTTCCAGCTCAGACACTGAGTAGCGCTGCTCGGTAGGGGTGAACGCCCGAGACCAGAACGCTACGGCGTTTTCTTCTCCATCGGAGCTCAGCTGCGTGAGTACAGCTCCAGCGCCCTTGCCGCTGCCGTCGGATGTGACGAATGTAGGCAGGCTCTGGTCGAACGGCTTCAGTGTCGGGCTTGCAGCTATCTTCAGCTTGACCTCGTTGAAAGCTCGGTTCGCTGTGTCGTCCCAGACGAACTTGGTGCCCTTCTTCAGCAGCCGGTACAGTGGACGGACGGTCTCGGCGTACCCAGGGACGAACCTGAGAAACCATCCACACATCCCCAGGAACGACTTCAGCTCCTTGGCGTTCTCCGGCGGTGGTGCGTCAGTCACGGCCTTGATCTGTGACTGCAGTGGTGTGACTCCCGACGCAGACAGCGTGAAGCCACAGAAGTCGACAGCTGCTTTGCTGAACACAGACTTCTCTCTGTTGACTGTCAAGTTGGCCTCCTTCAGTCGGGCCATGACGCGCCGAAGACGGTCGTCGTGTTCTTCCTGTGACACTCCCACGACCGCAACGTCGTCCATGTAGTGAACACATCCCGGGATGCCGTCCAGCAGGTTGTCCAGCAATCTCTGGAACGCAGATCCTGCCGAGACCAGACCAAACGGAACCCTCGTGAACCGTCGTAGGCCTCGGTGAGTCAGGAACGTGGTGAGCTGACGGGAAGCAGGCTCCAGCTCCAGCTGATGGTATGCACTCTGCAGGTCGATAACTGTGAAGATGTTGCCCTTCAGCTGGTCTTGGAGCTCCTCTGCCGTCGGCAGGGGATGAACTTCGGCGATGACCTGTCGATTCAGGTCCCTGAGATCCACGCAGATGCGCAGCTTCCCGTTCTTTTTCCTGCTGACGACCATCGGGTGAGCCCAGTCGCTGACTTCGACCGGTTCGATGACTCCTTCCTCCTGGAGTCGGTCCAGCTCGCGGCTGACCTCTTCACGAACAGCATACGGGAGACGGCGGAGCTTGTGACGCACCGGTACAGCATCAGGACGGAGAACAATCCTGTGCTGGTAGCCACGGACTGTCGTCAGTGAGCATATCTCGCCAGGGTCGGGCTGAGACGGTGGCGGTTCCGGGACTTCTGCGCTCCCAGTGACCGCCAGCTGATCGATTGCCCCACTCGCGGGGTGCAGGTTTACGTCCAACTGCTTCAGCAGGTCCAGTCCCATGACGGCTTCTTCACCGTCGGAATCTATGATGAAGAACTCTGTGTTGGCTCGCCGTCCACGGTAGGTCACCAGCGCTGGCAGCGTGCCAAGCACTTGAAGCTGGTGTCGACCAAAACCGAACAGACGAGCAAACGTTCTATTGAGACGACTGCCTTTGAAGAGACGTCTGGCGATGCCGAGTCCTAAAGCGGACACCGTGGCACCCGTGTCAACTTGCAGATTCACGGTCTGCGTGATACCTGGTACCTCCATCTGTACTTCGCACATCATCTTATCGGTATTTGGTACGGCGCAGCAGAGAACAGTCAGCTCGTGACACCTTCTGTCGTCGTTCCGTTCACCAGACCAGCAGACCACGGCAAAGTGACCCGTCCGCCCACACTGCCTGCACCTGGCCCCGGTAGCGGGACACCGACCGCGCTCATTGTGCTGGCGCCGACCGCAGCTGGGGCACGTGTCCGGTTGCAGCTGGGCAGGTCCGGGGCGACGGTCGGCTTGCAACTGGGCAGGGGCGGGGCGGCGGTCGTCTTGCCGCCGGGCGGGTCGCCAGGGCCGGCGCCCGCGGCGCTGACGAGCGTCAGATATCTGATGCAGTGACTGCGCTCCGTCGGCGGCGGGCCGCGCCGGCCCGGCCATGGCGGTCGCCTCGCGTCGGGATCGCTCGAATGCCTCGGCGATCTCCAGAACGCGGTCCAAGGTCAGGCCCTTATCCTGCAGAAAACGCTCGCGGAGAATCGGATGCACTGTTGCTTCCACGACTTGGTCACGTATCATGGCGTCTGTCATTTGTCCAAACGAGCAGTTTACTGCCAGGCGGCGCAGCGCCGCCACGTAGTCGGCCGTCGGCTCGTGCGACTCTTGCCGTCGCTGCCGGAAGAAGAACCGCTCCGCGATCACGTTGACCTGAGGTTCATAAAACTCGGCGAGCTGCCGCTCAGCCGCATGGAACTCGTCTTCGTCTTCTCTCCTCGGCTGGACCGGTAGGGTACGGTACACCCGTTGCGCCTCGGCGCCGACACAGTGCAGAAGGAGAGCCGTCTTCCTCTCCGTGCTGTAGGCCTCACCTCCCAGGGCAGTCAGGTAGTTGTGGAAACTGAAAATCCAGTCACTCCAGGGCAGTGCTGGTTTTCCTGGTCTCGCCAGGAACGGAGTTGGCGGCGACACCCCCTCGACGTTCATCGTCGGTAGTATTCAGGATCTCATCCTCGTCGCCAGATGTAGTGTCCACCGCCGTCTCCGGGTTCCGATGTATTCTCACAAACTCGCGGTGCAAAACACTAAGGCACTGTCGTGCTGTGCGGCCGGGCGGAGCCTCTCGACTGCTGGCTCTGACTGGAGCCGAGCAGGGTGCGGCCGCCTCACACTCGTATTACCGGGGGCCCGATGCCGAGCCTCGGACACCCGATGCACTAGGTACTCGATACACTACACCGTGTGTTCTGGATCTCACCAAGAGTCAGCTGATCCTCAGCTCTGCGAAAATGGTCAGAACCATCTCCGCTTCAGTCTTCTCGGTGGGTAAGGTGATTTGTCAGAGAGACATCGCGGTTCCGGCCGGACACGAGGTTTTCTTTCCAGGTTTTGTTCCAAACGTCGACTTCAGAGGGCCAGCACTGTGCGAGCCATTGCTTGAAGTCCCGGGACTCGAGTTGGTTCCTTCCATGGTGCAGGTAAACGGTCAGAGTGTTCCGTGCATTGTGAGAAACATTACAACTGAGCCGGTCACGATCCCCAAGCGTGCGGAGATCGGTAGACTGGAAGTGGGCGTGGCTGAGTTTCCAGTCCCTTCAGGTGACGCAGATCCCAATTGGCGTGAAAAGATAGACCTGTCAGACACAGACCTCAGTAAGGAGCAGAAGGAGAAGGTGACCGAGCTGCTGACCAAATATAGTGACATGTTTGATGGTCGGTTGGGCTTCACATCCGCGGTGGAGCATCACATCGACACAGGTGACAGTCCGCCGATACGTTCAGCACCCCATCGCGTCCCACCATTCCTGGAGGATAAGGTAAGGGCCGAGATACAACGCTTGGTGGATCTAGGGGTTCTGGAAGAGTCGAATGGATATTGGAGTAGTCCTGCATGCTTTGTCGCAAAGAAAGATGGACGAGTCCGGATCTGTGCTGACCTCCGAAAGGTTAACGCTGTGACTAAGATGCCTGCTTATCCTGTCCCCAGAATAGACACGATTCTAGATTCCCTGGGTGGAAATGCAATGTTCTGTGTGCTTGATCTTCGCATGTGTTACTTTCAAATCGGTGTAAGAGAAGAGGATCTTCCTAAAACGACTATCGTCACCCCGTTCGGCGCTTGGCAGCACCTTCGGCTCCCGATGGGACTCAATGGTGCCGCGGCTAGCTGCGCCCGCATGCTCGATATTGTTTTGCGCGATCTTCCCAAGGGCACGTGTCATTCCTACTTTGATGATGTTTGTTTGGGTGGTAAGACGTTCGAGGAGACACTTGAGAAGCTCGAGCTAGTTCTAGACAGGCTCCACCGAGCCGGTCTCACGATCAATCTGGAAAAGTGCTCCCTGTTCCGTTCGAGTGTCAAATTCTTGGGACATGTGGTGGATGAGAGTGGCTTGTCTCTCGACCCCGACCGTGTGAGCAAAGTGCGCGACTGGCCGATTCCGCGGACAGCCAAGCAGCTCTCCTCATTCCTAGGGCTGGCTGGTTACATGCGCAAATTTGTCAAAAATTTTGCGAGCATCTCTGCACCGCTCTTCAAGCTGTTGCAGAAAGACGTGAAGTTCCAGTGGTCAGAGGAGGCGCAGTTCTCGTTCGACCGGCTTCGCAAAGCCCTCAGTGAAGCCCCAGTGCTGACGCTGCCCGATTTCAGCCGAGACGCAGGTCCTTTTATTCTTGATTGTGATAGTTCTGACACCCAGGCGGGCGCCGTGCTGCTACAGGTTCAGGGTGGCGTGGAGAAAGTGATCGCGTATGGGAGTCAGAAGCTGTCAAAATCGCAGATGAATTACGGTACCACTCAGAAAGAACTGCTAGCGGTAGTGATCTTCGTGCAAAAGTTTTCTGCGTACCTGGAAGGTAAGGAATTTAAAGTACGGAGTGATCACGCGAGTCTCCGATGGCTGCTCAATTTCCGCAACCCGACTGGCATGCTTGCCCGCTGGTTCCAGATCTTGTCTCAGTTCCACTTCACCATCGAGTATCGCCCAGGCGCCCTCCACACAGTGCCAGACGCTCTCTCCCGCAGACCAGACGAGCAGACTGATCAGTCATGTCAGACGGACCCAGAGACTGAATACTGCTTTCAGGTAAGGTCAGACGATTGGTCGACCAGCTACATTCGCTCGGAGCAAGACAAGGATGAGGATATCGCGGAAATATCGAAGTGCGTCTCCGCGGGAACCAAGCCTAAAGCTAAGGATCTACCCCAGTCGTGTCGCAAATACTTGTCGCAGTGGTCCAGATTGCGACTGGTGGGCGGAGTTCTGTTCCGCGTGTACAGAAGAAGGCCTGGCGATTCTGATCAGCTACAGGTAGTGCTGCCCAAGAGTCTGATCTCAGGGGCGCTGACTTCTCTGCACGCCGGACCCACGGGAGGTCATTTCGCTAGTGATAAGTTGTTAGCTCAAGCTAGGTTAAGGTTCTGGTGGCCCGGCATGGCTGTAGATATAGAAAAGTTCTGTAAGTCGTGTCACCGCTGCGGCGAGCGGAACAAGCCGGTTCCCGCCCCGCGAGCGTCCCTGGGCCAGCTGCCAGCCTCATCGCCCATGGAGGTAGTAGCGTTCGACATTTTGTCTGGCCTGCCAGTGACGTCGCAGGGGCACAGACACTTGCTCGTAGTTATCGATCATTTTTCGCGATTTGTAGAGTGTATTCCGTTGAAGACACAAGAGGCGACTGAGGTAGCTCAGGCGTTTGTCAGAGAGTTTGTGTCTCGATATGGGGTACCAAAGACGATCCATTCGGATTTGGGTGGCTGCTTCACCGGGGAAGTTATGAAGCTCACGTGCCAGTTACTGGGGATAGAGCAGTCACATACCACGGCATTCCATCCGATGGGTAATTCAATCTGTGAAAGAATCAATCGTACTGTGCTTGGTATGCTGTCTAAATTCCTTGAGGATCACGAGCTTTCAGACTGGGACATCCACCTGCCCCTTTTGATGCTCGGGCTCCGCAGTCAGGTGCACCGCTCCCTCGGCGTGTCACCATACTGCGTACTTTTTGGCAGGGAGCCAAGGCTGCCCGCCGATGCCGAGTACGCCGGTCCTACACGGTGCAGGACCCGACCCATCACGGAGTATCTAGAGAGGCTGCAGACCAATCTGCGTGCTCTGCACAAAGTAGCACTAGAGAACTCGAACAGAAGTCATCAGAAGAATAAGGAGATTTATGATAGAAAGCTAAATGAGAATAGTTACCTACCTGGAGACAAAGTGTATCTGCACAAGGGAATCGTTCCGCGCGGTCAGTATTATAAGTTTTTGCGTCCTTGGAAGAGAGCAGTAGTAGTAGATCAGGTCGGTCCTCTGAACTATAGGATCAGACTAGAAGGAGCTAGGTCTACGCTCATCGTACACCACAACAGGTTGAAGCCTCGAGTGGATACCGGAGAAGGTGAGTCACCGGTGACCGCACCGACAGCGTCCGTCTCACGGGCGGACCCCGCCGCGAGACCACAGCCGGCTGTCGGGACAGCAGCAGGCTTGACCTTTCCGACAGGCCGAAGGAGGATGGATGGTGTCAGTGACAATCAGAGGGTAAGTGGTGCGCAGTGTGAAGGTAGGCCTAGTTGCCAACCAGCTGACGCCGCTAGTCTTGACGACTCAGGACCGCCGGCCCTGTCCCTGCTGAATCCGTTCGCCATATCTTTCGCCCCACAGACACCCCCAGTTCAGACAGAGACAGCGCGTGAGACACGTGAGATGCCAGAGGGAGTCGCAGAACCGATAGCAGGTTCAGCTCCGACTGGAGCAGCAGAGGTGCCGCCCGACGTGGCGAACACTCAGGTTACCGCAGATATGCGCAGTCCCGAATTGCGTAGGTCAACACGAGTAGTCATTCCTCCCGACAGGTATTCGCCGTGATTTTCCGTTGTGGGTACCTATCACACAGAGCTGCTGTGTGCTGCTGTCGTTTTTAATGTTTAATACTGGGTGAAAGGCAATGACATTGGGCGATAACTTGACTTGTGATTCCTATCGTAGTAAGAACAGCTGCAAGCGAGCCTTAGTGTTACCTCTGTACAATGGGCACCTAGGTAGTTCTCTAGCGAATGGAGAAGCGCACGAGCTGAGCTGCAATACGGAGTTATTCAGTTGAGACCGAACATGTTTAGCCGTCCAGTTAAAAAAAAAAGTTCCTTTTTCGTAGGTCGATGCGTTGTATTGTATGTGTAAATAATCGAGAAGTTTCTTCGCGTTAGGGAGGAAGGGTGTAAGCGGATTTCCGCTTACATGTTATGCGAGCGGATACTGGGCCTACCAGAAGTGAAAGTGGCAACTCTAAATTCGTCCTGTGCTGCAATAATGTCCTTGGTTTGTTGTCGCGTGTTTAGTGCTATTTAGTTATGATACTGATTTGTAATGACTATTTTATTATTTACTATTGTTCGGTACCAATGTTTCTTTAGTTATGTGTCATATTTCTTATCCGAAGAGTTTTAGACTTCCTGTAATGATTTTGTCCAATGATGTAGCTGCGCGCCACGCGAGAGCCAATCAGGTAATCGCTTATTCTGACCAATGAGAGAGCAGCCGAATTTCCGTTGAGCCCCCGTCGCGTCCAGAGCGGGAATTCGGTGCGCCGCGACATGGCGAGGATCGAGATGTGCTTGGATTGCGCCTGCTTGAACGGTGGGTTTCAACTTTCGTGATAATTACTGTTTATTTTATTTCACATTCTCTAATAACGGGTTTTGATATTTCGTGCCGGCTTTGTATGTGTCGGGATTGTGACAGTTGTTTGTCTTTTCTTTCTAGGGCGTTTCAGTTTGTTTGTTTGTCTGCTGGATACACGCTTGGTTGGCTCCGAGTTCGGCGTTTGCCTCTGACGCCAGCGGCCGGGGTTAGACGCTTACACATATCATTGTCGCCACGCTGTTCGGGTAAGAGCGATTAACTTCTCATCGTACACTCGCTCATGGCTAATCCACGATTTAGTTTTAGAATGAACCGTTCGTTTAGTTCATGCGTTTACCCTACTCTTTTATAGGTGGTAAACAGATACTATGATGACAGTTACATAACACTCGAGATGACAGTTATATTATAGGTATACATATCGTGTACATATCGTAAGGCGTAAACGACTACCATTTGCTACCGACGAAACATCTCCAGAAAGCCTCTTAGTTATTACAAGTCTGAAAACGCTGAACCATTAGCAACATCTACAAAGGGGAAGAAAAACTGGCCACAGCCATACTTAGCCTACCTATTCTATGTATCATCGCATCACGAGTCGTTATTGGTCCCGGGTCCGAATCCATATTCTGTCAGACTACCCCTGACCAACACGAGGTCCCACGTCACCCCTTCACCTCAGTTCCTGCAGTGGCCGCGCTACCAGGCTCGTCATGATGCAGCTCGGCTGACGCTGGCGGGCCGTCTCCCTCCCCTTCGAAGGCCTTGTTGACGTGCTCCAGCCATCCCACCGCACCCGGCTCAGTGGTCTTCAGCAACGCGTCGTCGGCAGTCGGTCCTTTGGAGGCGGCTGCAGCTGGTGCCGCACGAGACGGTTGAGGAAATATCAGCTTCTCCAAAGCCAGCATTGGAGACTCGAACGCCAGCGAGAACACTGTGGCGACGGTGAATATGACTGGCAGCGACCCAAGGAACTGGTACACCAGCACCAGGTGATCCAAGTATTGCGGCGATTTGCTAGTCAGCCAGTATAACAACTGTACATCGATGGATACAAGATATGACGTGTACGTGAGGCGACTAAACGGAATGAGCGCCTTCCACGACAGTATGGAGTTGACAACACCGCCATAGCCAGTGACGCAAGCGAACACCACCCATGCCAGGCAGACGCTCCAGGCAGTGCGGCTGAGCATGGGGTAGATGATGTTGGTCGTCTGGGGCGGCACGGTTGGCTGGTCGTAGAGCCCATACACGATCAAACAGGCTGTGAGCGACGAAGTCAGCCAACCGATGGCCACCAAGGGGGCGGGAAGAACGATCTTGCGACCGCGGATTTTGTGTAGAATCCAGCCCATGTAGAGGCCGACCAGGTACGGACCTATCCGTGCCCATGGCCTCTGGTAACGAAAATTTTTATTGTCGCCATCCGGCAGCGAACCAGTAGGGCCCAGGTTGTGGATAACTGTTACCATGGCATTGATGCCGCTGAAGAAGCAGAGGAGAAAGATGATCCACAGTTGTCCCAGCACAGGCCAGTGGTAGAGCGGAAGGAGCACAAGAGGCGAGAACAGGAACATTTGCATGTCGTTAGCGAGGTACCAGGTCTGACCGATACACTGTCGGTCCATGTCTACCAGGTTGTTGATGTAAAGCATGTTCTTCCACCAGTTGTCACGGCAGATTTGAGCACTGCTGACTCCATCAGATGCTCGGCTCCACCAGGGTCCTGAGCCCAGGTACATTTCCAGCGTGGCCACGCAACCGATTATGGCCATCAAGACGGGCGTGAGTCTGATGTACCGGTGAGCGTAGAACATCACTATGTTCAGCTTACCGTGCGCTCTTTCGATGTTGCGCATAGCTATGTATGCCACGAGGAGTCCGCTCAAAAAGAAAAAGGAATCTACGGATACAGTTGCATTGTCGATAGTTCCGAAAAACCAGTCGTCAAAGTACGACACTAGTTTTACCGTATTCTGGTTTTGAGCAAGTAAGCAAAGGAAATACGTGTGTCCCAGAATGACCCAAGTCATGGAGAAGAAGCGAATCCCGTGCAAGCAGCCCAAAGTTTCCTTGGTGGATGAAGTGTCTAGCAGTTTCCGTCCGTTTGTGTACACTGAGAAAGCAGTGAAGACCTTGCGAAGCGTGACAGGCATGCGTTTCACCCAAACACTAGGTGTCCAATCGGCAAACTTGGACATCAGCACGTCAAATACTGTTCCCACCAGCATAAAAAATCCGACTATCGATAGAATGGTGATCATGACGATAGCTTCCGGGGAGAGTTCGGTCTTCTGGTCTTGCGTGTAGCACATGTCATCATTGGTGTAAGCAGCAACTCCCTCGCTATTCAACGCCTGATTAAGACCAACCATTAACTCCGCACTTGAACAGCTGGAAGGTATGCAAACGCCTTCCGTGGGCCGGAACAGTGTTGGGATAGCTGGAACAAAAGGCGTTAAACCAACTCGGCTCCCTGAATATGCCGCACGCTTGTCAGAAACTTCATCTTTGTCAATGTTTGACAAAAGAACTGCGCAATACTTTCCATCAAAACTGTGCTCAGTTTTTTCTTTAGTGATGGGATTGGTTGTGGTGTAGTGCGCCGTCGTGTTCAGGCACTCATCCCAGTTTCCCATCGGGTACACGTTGCCGATCAGTACACCGTCCGGTAGCTTTCCAGTGGCGTCAAACATGCGCAGCGCCCACAGCTCAGTGAAGATGCTTTGAATATACTTCTGGCTGTCTCTGTAGCATTCGGCACTGAGCTGGGTGTTGGCGATCGGTGTTATAAGCGGTCCGAGCGTGCGGGCGACGGCCTCGTCTCGCGGTGTGGGCCCGTCACTGTGAGGGCGCCGGTGGGCGACGGCTGCTGTCTGGTAGCCGCCGTCCTCATCTTCCAGCTCTAGTGTCCTCAGCACACCTGTGAACAAACGGCGTGGGATGAGTTGCAACACTTCACAATTGCACACAATTACATGTAATGTGGACAGATCACAGAAGAGTACTACTCTGGGTCCACGGCAGTTGGAAATTACGGAGGTTACTTTGATGACCTAATATGAAGACCGACATATATCAAATTAAAAGATTAAAAGGATCCATTACTACCTACACAATACACACGTTTGACATGTCACCAAGCCGGACTAAAAGAGGTCTTATCAATCAACTGTGTCCCAATTTAGCCAGAAAAAGCAAATATGAAAATAGGAGGTAAAAATGAAATAGAAAGCTCTCCTTTCAGCTTTGGGGAAGAGGAGCTCCAACGTAGTCATATTTTAATAATAACTTTGTTGACCCTCTCCGCCCAGAGGATTGATGTCACGCCCTGTCAATATTTTTTTCACGATAGCTTGGAATGCTAAGCATTTGAGCGTTATTAACAATACCTAGGCGTTCCAAAAAAAAAAATCCTTTACAGTATATACGCTCGTAGCACGTACAGTCATGGCGGATCTGGGGAGGGGGGACATTTGGGGAAAATGGCCCCAAAGCGCCCGAAATCGACAAAACCTTGCGATTTTTCGACAATGCACCAAAAACCAAACAACTTTTATCCGGAAAAGTGTTTTTAAACTGCGTAGCAGTGCGTAAAAACTAAGAAATCAAAACCCAATGAGTTTTTGGAATTTGGAGAAACTTTCTTGGGGGTACGCTCCGTCTTCCGCAGCTTCCCAGACCGCCTTTCTGGATCCGCCAGTGTGCACGCATTCACCATAACTTAGCACACTGACTGCCTAATAAAGCCTCACCTGACTTATTGCCGGTGCCTGTCACCGCTGGTGGCTCTCCGTCCGTCTGCAGCGGAAATCCGTCGCGGTCAAACTGGCGACGGATGTGCAGCAGTCTGGGCCACAGGTTCAGGAACTCCCAGTCCCAGTCGGCGCCGACTGGGACTGTGGTCTGAGGCAGCCCGTGGTCTGAGACGGCCAGACTGGGCGTCAGGAGGGAGGCCAGCAGCATCGGTGCCAGCAGGAGCAGCAGGCTCCGAGGCCGTGCGGTGCTGGCTGCTGCCGTCATGTCTGCCGCTGCTCCCGGCACTGCCGCTAGTGACCGGGCGAGAGGCGTCACCGAGCTTTTTACACAGTTTTTATCTGTTATCACACGAGTGATAACGCAGCATGGGAGGCGGCAGAATGATATCTAGCACCTAAACACAGACAGTGACTACTAACATCAATGAATTCGTTAACCCGTTTATATATATGTTACTATATATAACCCTGTGTATTATATAGGTATGTTACTATATAAGTACGACAATTGGCGAACCCAACCCGCCGCATGGAATCATCGAACCGTTGTGAACTTGCTATCTCCGAAACCAATTGACTGCTTTAAAGGAAATAGTTCACTTTTAACAAGGGGTTTTGAACTGGAATAGCAGTTTCGTAGCTTGAGCTGAGACTAGCACAAATCAGGAGCCATTACGGCCCAACGATCACCCTAGACGAAGATTTGCAATTTCTCCGTAAAGAGTGCCCTGCAGAGGAATGAGTGCGTTGCTGAGGAATGCAGCCACGTCATCGTCAGCCAATCAGCATGCTGCTTACAGCAAATGCATCATGCGTTGGCAGGTTTGAACAGAAACTACGCAATATGATTGATTGGTCAATGCGTAAAAAGCTTTCGCGCCAAATAACACATTTGTATTTATTCAACAGACCGTCAACAGGCACTTGACCCACTAAAAGACGGAGTATATGTAGAATACCTATAGTTCATCCTACATTTAAATATTGAAAATAATTTTTTTTATAAAAGGGTTTATTTTATTTTCTGGTCATTTTAAGCACAAAAATCACAAATCCATTGCAAAAAAAACTGATGTGAGGGAAGTGAACTATTCCCTTTGAGAATGCAAACGTTAGTTGTACCGCTCTTTGCTATTTGTATTTTCGGCCTCATTTTATTACATGAAAATACATCTCACTGCCATGTTATTGGTCAATAGTGAGTGTTTTTTTTTCAGATTTGACCCAAGGTCAACGGATTAGCCTCCAGAGTGCAAAAACTCAAAATTTGATGTTTTTGTGGAAACGTTTTTTTTTTTTCTATAAGACTACAGGCTTGTATTACGCTGATTTTACCGGTATCGCGTTTGTCTCGTCGAAACGCGTCGAATGAACAATAATTGGACCTGAAAAGGTCAACTTTAACATTTGACCTCAGGTCAAGGTCACGGAAAAGGTCATGTTGAATTTCATTCGATTCATTACGGAGCGAGCGAAGCGAGCGGAGTCTTAACCCTCGCCGGACCTATTGGTTTTCTACATACGCGCCGGCCGAGGGGGGGGGCGGGTACGACCCCCCTCGCCGTTTCGCCCCTGGTGGAGCTAGCGCGTCGCGGAAAAAACGAGCGTGTGCGCCGTTACGAGACGCAGAGATTGGTACCCGATTTTAAGGTCCTAGGTCAACCAATGACCTCTGAGGTCAGGTCAAGTGTCCCAAGGTACGGTTCAGTTTTTGGTGAATAACTTCGCAAAAAACGGCCGCAGAGCGCCGATTTTGGCAGCATCGTGTTCGCCTCGCTCAGGCGCGTCGAATGATATACTTTTCGTCCGGGTCAGGTCAACTTGGGGTGTTGACCTCAGGTCAAGGTCAGGTCAGCACCCCAAGGTCACGAAGTTGGTCGAAAGAGGTCATGTCGCATATCATTCGATTCGGCAGGTCTTCCTGAGTCCATTGGTGGCTTTCCCGACTCGCTAGCTCAATTTGATCAAGAGTTATTGACGAAAAACTAATATGACCTTGATGACGTCATAAAAGACGTCACGAAAGGTCAACATTGCAAAAGTGACGCATCTAACCTTGCAAGGAGTGCATCAAATCACGATTCTGTGTGCTTGAGATAGTTGGAGATCATTCCCGGCGCCAGAATAGCAGTTTTCATTTTTCCCCATTGACTTATAATGGTGAGGTCACGAAAATGACCTGACCTCATATGACCTTTAGGAAAAATCCGAGATATACAAGTTGTGGGACTCATAATGGATATTAGATCCTGCAAGTTTCATTTCCCTGTGACATCTCCTCTGGCAGTGAGGGCGTTGCGAAGTTGCGACATCTGAAGACCGTGCAGAGGTTCACTTGTGACGTCATAGGTCAGTGACCTGACCTGACCCAAAAATGCGGTTGGTGTCAAAAGATGCGGCTTGGATCAAAGGTCAGGTATGCCAAGTTTCGGCTCTCTATCGCCAGCGTGTTCGGAGCTATCGCGAAAAAAACCCTATGGGGGGGGGCGGCACCCCCCCCCCCCTCGGCCGGCGAGGGTTAAGGCGGCCGCACACTAGGCCATTCGGCGGGCGACATTCCGCAAAAACGCAATTCCGTGGCGACATTACGCTTTCGTGGACGCCGAATCAGCTGCCGAAACGACAAAATTATCAGCCGACCGCTGCCAGCTAGCCGTCCGCGGGTAGAGTGCGCATGCGCGCGAACAGCCGCGGAGTTGCGGAAAAAGCTGGACCGGTTCAGCTTTTTCCGCGGCGACGCCGCGGACACCCGAAATTGTGGAACTTGAAACTCGCCAACTATCGATGGAGCAGCCGAGAAATAGACTTCACTTGATAAAAAATCGTAGCGGCACTTCTTTCCCCATATTAAATGGTTTTTATACACTTCATTGGTTATTCCAATAATGGGTTACCAGGGATGCGGAGCCGGAGCCGGAGTCGGAGCCGGAGCCGCCGGAGCCGGCATATTTTGCCCGGAGCCGGAGCCGGAGCCGGAGCCGTGAAACAATATAGCCCGGAGCCGGAGCCGGAGCCGGAGCCGCCAAAAAAGGGGGCGACTCCGACTCCTTTTTATTTTTTGAAGAGGAAAAAAAAATAATTGACCTAGTTCGGTTTGACAGTACAAGGCAGTAAAACATATGGTATAATGGTACTTACGTCATGGGCCATCAAGTGAATGAAAAAAGCCGAATATCCCCAGTATCCCACAGTACGCAATCAACTTCCTGTCTGCTCCTCCCCCTCCCCCCCCCCCCACGTCTACTGCATCCCCAGAACATGAGGACCGCGCGGTCATCAGGTGACGGCCATTGTTTTCAAGCCAGTGCAGTGGACTGCAACTCCCAGCACCGTCTCTTCCCACCCCCCACCCCCACCCCCACCCCCCAATGCAGCCGAGACGGGCGTCAGCTTACGATGGTTCAGTGAACTCCGATTCGCGGCGACTGCGTTTCCAATGCCATCGCTTCCTAGTCCTTTGTTCTGCCAGTTCTCTCCGAGGTGCGTTTGCGCGGGGACGCGGTGAGCCGGTCCTGGCAAAGAGTAACGCGTATAACCAATCCAATTTTTCTTCCACCCGTATTTAATTGATTGCATAGGGGATGTACTGAGTCGGAGCCGGAGCCGCCGGAGCCGGACCATTTTACTCGGAGCCGGAGCCGGAGCCGGAGCCGCCATAACATTTCACCCGGAGCCGGAGCCGGAGCCGGAGCCGATTTTTTTCTCCGGAGCCGGAGCCGGAGCCGTCTGAAATTTCCACGGCTCCGCATCCCTGTGGGTTACTATGTGCCTCTCCACCAGGCCCATGTCGTCCCCTATCTCTCTGCGTGTCCACTAACACGAATGACGTCACGCATGTGGGCGGAGCTATGGGCGGAGCCTAACGCACGCGGCAGTGCAAGCCGCCATATTTGAATTCATATTTTAATAGAATCTTGCCGATATTTTGGGTGAAGTCAATTTATATGGATAGCTTGGTGACAGTTTAGCTATACGAATAATAATTTATTATGGATGTGCGTATATTCAGCTTGGAATTGCAATTAAGGTTTCGCACCGCATAGATTCGAACTCGGGACCTTTGGAATACTGCGCGGGCACGCTAACCACTACACTACCGCGACCGCGCGGCGGCCGGCGGCAGGGAGGCTGCGGAGACATGGGGGGACATTTTACGCTTTTGTGAAAAAAGCAAAAGATTTAGCGAAAAACACGTAATAGATAACTTGCAGAAAATTGTCTGCTCTTTCAGATAAGATACTTAGGTTTGATATATCTTGTGTAGACTTCATTCAACAGTGCTTCAAAAATCGCTCATTTACATGGGGATTGAACGGGGCTTCGAGACTTGACTCCAAATGACGTCACGAGCTGACGTCACGAAAAGGTAGAATCGCCGGACGACCCTACCTGGTATATAGGGCCTTGCTCTCCACAATTGTCTTTAGGTTTCTTGCATTTGTCGACAAACACGGTTGTTTACATTAATCACGAGCTTTATTTTTTTGCAACTTCCTCCAGAAATTATGTCAAATTAATAGGAATAAGGAATAAGGAATAAGGATGGTAATGGGCTAAGGAGGCCACAGGTGGCCCATAGGACGCCCATATCTCGTCTATCTGTTACTTTTGTTACTTTGCACTTCATGTCTCATGATTCCTCGTGGTTGCCATCAGCTTGTCGAACTCCCTTTTGAACTGGATCGTGGTTTTTGCCGTGTGAACTTGTTCAGTTAGCTTGTTCCACTTGTTGATTACCCGTTGTGAGAAGGAGTGTCCTCGTTTAGAAGTTGCAAATCGGCGTTTATACAGTTTAAAAGCTGACCCTCTCTGACGATTCGGTTTAACGGTGAAAAGTTCACTGAGGTCAATTGACTGGAGTCCGTGCAGAACTTTATGAACTTGTAACATGTCACCCCTCTGTCTTCTAGCTTCCAGCGTGGTCAGGCCAAGATCCTTCAATCTCTCTTCATATGTCTTTCCTGCCATGCCGGGGACATGTCTGGTTGCAACGCGTTGGACCCTCTCTATCTTCTTTACCAGTCCTTTCTTGTGTGGTGACCAGACCTGTGGGCAGTACTCAACATGAGATCTCACATATGTTTTGAAGAGTAGATTGAACATCTTGGGCTTGAGTTTTTCAAATGTTCTTCTTATAATACCCCAACTGGCAAACGCTTTGTTGACACATTTAATCACTTGCTGCTCGAAATCCAGATTCGAATCAATCAGTACACCAAGATCATTCTGCACAGTTACATTTTCCAATGTCACTCCATTTAGTTTGTATTCTGGTCTGTTTTCCATGTCCTGTGTTCTAG